GTACCATAACACTCTGTGTCATCCTGTGTCCTATTATTATTCTTCAGCTTGCATTTGCTGCCTACTTCTTCACATTTACTACAATCTGGTTGGGACCAACTCAAATGAACATCCCCTGTCTGGTAATACAACATTTCTTCGTATACCGCTGTCTCGGATATGTTGAGTAACGTTCTCCTGCAGCTTAACAAGTTAAAACCATGTGTATAATTGGAAGGAAAAGCTAGAACTTGGAAGCCTGGAACGCTTAAGCAAGGAATCTCGTAAAATTCATAATTGATACCCACAGTTGCTTCCCTTGAACAGTTGAAAAGACTGTACTTTTTTTTTGGTGGAAGAAAAGACTGTACTTTGACTCCGCATAATTGAACGAGAAGGGAGTTTGTCTCAAGTACTGAAAGGGAGATGCTGATAAATTGAGATTGGGAAGTTGCAGGGGAAGGCAACCCTGAGGATCATATAACTGAATCCTCTTTGCTTTGTAATCTATACGCTTCACGAACAACTTTACATTCCATGGCAACTCGAGCACAGTCTGCTTGTCTTCGCAGGAGAGTTCAAACCCATGATAGCCCCAGTGTTCCGGTTGTTGTCCCGTTAGCCAGAACGGGAATCGGATGGTATGGTGGTTGCACTTTTGGTTAGGCATTCATCTTTGGCATCTTGGAGCTCTGCAACCTTCACTACAAAGAGAAAGCAGAAGAGAAAAACAGCGTTCTTGAAGAAGCTTTCCATCTCTGAAAAATTGAATCCAAATCCAATGGGGTTTGGGTTTGGGATACATAATACCAAAAATGAGAAAGGAGAAGATGTTCAAGTTGAGAAATTTTGACGAGAACTTATTTTGACTTTTCAAAGGTGGACGCTCCTTTACCGTATTTCTTTATTGTCTTTCTTTGAAGTTTAATTTTGTACTCTCTATTTTTTTGTTTTTTAAATGTTGGGTGAGACTCAAACTCACACCACCAAATTTACAGGAGAAGTCCCTTACAAAGGGATTAAGCCAGCAGGACATTCTTGACTTTCTCCTTTTAAATGATTTCAATCATGTGTCTTACAAACATGGTGAATTTAATTTTGCATCCAATCTTTTAGAACGCTAGCCATTTTGTGCATAATCTTTTTTTAATGAATATATACCTCTATGTTTTTAATAAATCTAATGATGCGTTATGAATTATGGAAAAGTATTGTGTAGTCTCACATGATACAAACTACACAACTATAACTACTAATAGGAGAGGGTCATTAAATGTGAGGCATTTCTCTTTTAAAATCAATAATTAATTTGTTATATTCTACCTTAAGTCGAACTATAAAAATTGCATTGTCTATGAATTATGTCATAGAGGTACCTCCACTTCTATGATCTCTTGATCAAGGTTCAAATATGTTTTTAGCCCTTCTTTGAATTGCTTGCCAATTGACCTCAATTAAAGATTAATCATTCAATTGAAATCCTCTCATAAGCTTAGGGACTAAATTTGACATTCTTCACCCATTATTTTTTAAAAGACACCTTCCGTTTCGTCGAGTACCAGCACAGAAGCCTCGTCCGATTCTATGATTAGAGAACGCCAAATATAGAAATATTGATAGAGTTTTAAAATCAGGAATCAGGAGCCATTTTTTACTCCACAAGTTTAGATTAGACTGCAACTTGATGGAAAGTATTTTCAATCTTCCGTTGAGAATAGTGGATTTTTTTAACTTATGGGATGCAAGAGTCATGTTCCAACAATTTGAATGCTTTCTATATATGTTCATCTTAACAGTTGAGGAACAATGCATTGAAGATGTTTGCTTTATTGCCTCTCAGAATTACCCACCTTGAATTGAAGTGCTAATTGCTATCCATATAAAGAAATTTTTATTTTTTTTCTGTTATCATTAGTTTTCCCTCTTGCTCAAGCTTTGGGATGTTAAGAGCAAAACTTGAAGTACTTTTCAGCCTCATGGTCCTTGCTTTCTCTTTCTTTCTTGATGCTTGTATGGCTAGAGCTAAATACAAGCCTTGCCTCCCTTTTTCTTCTTGTGGAAACCTCAGTACTTCATACCCTTTTCCATTAAATAGTGACCCTGTTGAGTGTGGTGAGCCAGGGTATGAACTAGTATGCGATAATAATCGCACAACTTTGGTCACAAAAGAGGGGACATTCTTTGTTGAGAACATCACAAACTCTAGTGTTCGACTGGTTGATGCCAGTCTTCAGAGGGATATCTGCTCCATTCCTCGTAGTTCCCTTCTTCTTGAAGGCGCTTGTTGGAACATGCTTCTTTCTAACTATCTTGTGTATGTTTTAAATTGCAATATACAGATGAATTCATCACTCTATGTTGATGCCTCTGCTTGTACCAATAGCTCTTTATCTCCATATAATTACCTTTTTGTCTTCAATGAACTAGCACAGTTATCTGATTTCAATGAGTCGTGCAAAATTGAAGCCCAATTTCCAATTTTTTTCTCTAATATCACAGGCCTATCGGCTTCTGCTATTTACCATAAGTTGCTAGAGGGTTTTGAACTGAATAAGGATTGGTTCTCCTTGAATAACAACACCTGCATCTTTTCAAACAAACTTACATTGAAGGAGATGTAAGTATTTATAAACTTCTTGACATCTCTTTACTTATTCATTTTATATGAAAAATACCATTTTCTATGCTCTTCCGCTACTCAATGTTCTTTCATTCTTTGTTTTTGCCTTGATATCACTTAACCAGGCTTTATTTAACATGGTAGATTAGGACCAGTGAAGTATGCATTAGAATCATATCTAGACAGCTTTATATTTTTCCTTCTGGGTGGCCCCCATGTAAAGGATAACACGAATTTTCCACCAAACAGTATGCCTTTTGTAGTTCTTATGAATTATACTCATTTCATTTCATTTCATTTTCTCCTTCCTAATGTTTAACTGTTCATGTGTAACCATGGTGCCTTTTTTTTTTTTTTTGTAACAGGTACTCATATTAAATGTCTTGGAATAATAGGTATGTGTCAGGTTTTATTTGAAAGTACTGGTACACCATTATGTATAATTTCCTAACTAATGTAGGAATCTGTTTGTAGTTCATATAAATATTGGAAACAATGATTTAAGCAAACAGAAGAAAATCTTTGGAAAAATATTTAACTTATGGGCATGAATGCCAGGCCTATTTTAAGTATCACAATTTCTAGATCATAAGAAAATCGGAGAAAAGCTTCGATTGCTTGTGTCCTGGTTTTTATAACTTGTAGACATTAGTCATTGACAGACTCTTTATGTTTATACTATATTGTTTCTCAATCAGGAAGCATGCTTTAATAATTTGATAAATGCTTTAAATAAATTGAAAATATTATTGATTTTCAAAAACTTTTCTAATGATCTAGAATAAAGTTAGTCACAAAAATGTAATAATATCCCATGATAGATTTTTTTTTTTTTTTACACTGATGCTATTACTTTTCAACTTCAAATGTCAGAAGGCACACTTATAGATACTGATCTGTGTCTGTCTTTTTTCTCGAGAAGGAGCAATTATTTTCACTAGAGCTCTGTTGGGGATATCCATCTTGCTTGTGATAGTTGCATACAAACTTCGGAGGAGGCATTTGTCTGTGGATGATATAATTGAAGAGTTCCTTCAGAAACAGAATAACTTCATGTTTATCAGTACACTTACTCAAAAATAAAGAAAATCACTGGAGGTTTTAGGGATAAACTAGGTTAAAGAGGTTATGGTTTGGTTTTTAAAGGAAAGCTTCAAAGTGGACATTTTGTAGCTATAAAATTACTGGGCATGTCAAAATCAGATGGCCAAGATTTCATCAATGAAGTTGCTACCATGGGTATGATTCATCATGCTAATGTCATGCAACTCATTGGATTTTGTGTTGAAGAATCAAAACAAGCTCTAGTATATGATTTCATGCCTAATGGGTCCATGGATAAAGTCATATTTTCAAGAGACAATAACATATCTTTAGGTTGGGAAAAAATGTTTGAGATTGCTATTGGGGTGGCTAGGGGGATTGAATACTTACATCAAGGATGTGAAATGCAGATCTTATATTTTGACATCAAGCCACACAATATCCTTCTGGATGAGAATTTTAATCCTAAAGTTTCTGATTTTGGCCTTGCAAAACTATATCCTACAAATGATGGTGTTGTTTCTCTCACTGCAATAAGAGGTACATTAGGATACATGGCTCCTGAATTATTCTACAAGAAAATTGGAGGCATCTCATGTAAGGCTGATGTTTAGAGTTTTGGAATGTTGTTGATGGAAATGGTGGGAAGGAGAAGGAACGCAAATGCATTTTCTGACCATTCAAGTTAGATATACTTTCTACGATGGATTCATGAGCGATTTGATCGGGGAGAGGATATAGAGTTGGGAGATGTTACAGATATTGAAAAGAATATTGTCAGGAAGATTGTCATAGTTGCATTGTGGTGCATACAGTGAAACCTGCTATTCGTCCTTCAATGAGCAAAGTCTTGGAGATGCTTGAAAGTGAAGTTCAGCTACTTGAAATGCCTCCCAAGCCTTCTTTTGTTCCATCTAAATTGCAGACTGCAAATCATGTCAATATAAATGTCAACATAAGTCAAGCAGCCCAGCCAACTATGTCACTTGATGCAAGAACATAAGGTGTACTCCAAATGCCTTACCTTGACTTGCTTACACATAACAGCGTCACATATGTTTACATATCCTGCATTGTTTATTTTTCTTTTGATATATCTCATGCACATCTTTATTTCAGAATGAGAACAGGGTAGGATTACATTAGGTTCCACTAGACATGTCCCCTGTAACAATGTGCACAATAGATTGGGGGACCTCTCGTAACTAGTACTCATCCCCCTCAGCATGAAGCACACGTTTAGCGAGCTCATGGGCAACTGAATTTCCTACATGACGAACATGCTGGACCCGGCAAGACACAAAGTTAGATCTCAATCTGTGATTTGAAGGTGATATGGTCATTGTTCATTACCGCCACAATACAGGAACAATCAGATTCAATCACAATTTGGCTTAATGCAAGATCTTGAGCCCACTGCAATGCTTTTCGCTGACTACAGGCCTTGGCAATCTCTGCGGGGGCCCTACCTTGGCCCGTGCAAGCCATCACAGCCACCACTTCACGACGTTGCCCCATCCTTATTAATCTTTATGAAGCCCTCAGCCTGTGGTCGCCATTTCGTTTCACTGTGCAACAGAGTAGAAGCTGCCCCTCACCCTTTCGAGGCCATCAACTGCCGGTATTCACCTAGAAAACCGGAGCTCTGTTCGATTACATATAGAGGGGTAGGGTGACGACCATTCCATAGAGTATCATTACGACAACCCCAAAGTTTCCAACACACAACACAAAAAAACTAGAGAGACTCCTTAGTTAGGGTGTCCAGCATATGGTCAAAGACTTCTGCAAAGGCCTCAGCCTGTAATTCTTGTAATCGGAGAGTGAGAGGACAACCTATCCTGCATTGTTTATTAAGTAAAGGGGCTTTTTACGACTCGAATATATCAATCTTCAAATGTTGTACTTTGATATATCTGATCGCATATGGTTTCTTAATGAAATAAGATTACTCTGTTGATAGAATATTTGAGCTTTATTTAATATTCATTTATTTAGAAAATAATCTCATGGCTCTGTCCGTCTTCTATTTACTGATGCTTCTGCTGCTGGAGGCCAGAGCAAGCATTGTGTCCCTTCTTCCTGTGGAAGCCTCAATATCAGTTTCTATTTTGGTCAACAAGAGATAGATTGATGTTCCAGGATCCTTTATTACATGAACATTTAAATGTTCCATTTTAGGTGAATCCAAAGGCTAACAAATTCAAATCTCTCCCATGTGAGCCAAAACATTTCAAAAAAGAAAAACTACGAAAGAAAAGCTTCACTGAATTCATATGAACTAACCATAAAACATTGATTTTGTCAAACATTTTAACAGTTAGGGGAGATTTGAAAACATCACTAGCTAAGGGAAGCAACCTGGACCAATGGTATAATGACATGTTGGCATGATTGTGTTAGTTTTCCTTACAATTGAACAAAAGGTTGCAAACTGCCATTGCCAGTTACCTTCCATCTGAAAGCAAACTGATAGTTTCTCTATAATCTGAAGATGAAGATTCAGTTTGATTTGTTTGGTCTCCCACAGTCCTTTCTTGTGCCTCTTCAGGAAACAGAACAGGTTTGGGAGGCATTGGCAGGCTTTCGAGTTTTTCTTGAACAATCTCTACAACTTTGCTTATCAGTGGACGATCACTAGGCTTATCTGTATACACCATAATGCTACTAAAATCATCTTCTTTATTATTCTATTTTTTCTTCCTCTGTTGCATCTACTGTCGCTTTATTCGTAATATTTATTCCCAAAAAAATGGTTTTTCCTAAAATAGACTTTGGTTACAGTATCATTTAATGTGAAAATATTGATTATCATAACAATGAATTTTATTACAATATTATTTTATGTTAGTTTGTAAACAAAGAGATGAAGATCTGGTAAGTGCAGAACTAAAATTTCCCATTGAACAAATCTGCTTTTTACAAGGAAATAAAGAAACTACTAAAAACTGAAAGTTAACTGCACTATAATGGAAAAACAAACTGGATTAAAAACCAACTAATAACTGCTACAAACTGAAAAATAGTGTGACAGCATTTGTGTCACTGTCTTTACATTGCTGTTTTCACTCCTCCTTGACACTAATGCTGCTCATCCCAAGCTTGTCTCTTAGTGTCTCAAATCTGAACTTGTGCAATCCTTTAGTGAATATATCAGCAATCTGGTCATCTGAATCACAATGCAAAACCTGAACTTCACCTTCATTAACCATCTCCCTAATAGAATGATATTTGATCTTGATATGCTTGGTTCTACCATGAAGAATAGGATTCTTAACAATTGCCACAGCAGATAAATTATCACAAAACAACTCAGTAGGATGTATCTGAGGTTGTTTTAAATCATTCATAAGTTTCCTGAACCACACAGCTTGATCTGCAGCAAGAGAAGCAGCAATGTACTCAGCTTCTGCTGTTGACTTGGCAACTGAGTCTTGCTTCTTAGAACTCCAACTAATCACCCCTGAACCAATAGAAAAACACTGTCCTGAGGT